CAGTTACAAACCAAAAACGAGCCTTTATTGTGGCTGACATGAATACTACTCAAATGGAAGCAAACATGGGTAAGAGCTAACTGAAAACCTACACTGGGAAAAACTAAGATAATTGAGCAAACACAGAAATACACACATGAGGTGATCAGGAGAAGCGGCGACACATGAGGACACAGCTGACTCGAATAAAACATAATGACAACACATCGGAGAGTAACACCGGACACACTAATATGAGACACAGACCTTCAAAGTAAAACAGGAAACATGACAGGCACTGAACTAAACCTAAGAACAAACTCAGAATAACACTGAAATGTAGGACTATAATATTCAAAACAGGACAACTAAAGAATCTGAAAATAAACCATAATACAGAAAAATACCAAAATACAAGAAACTGAAAATGCTAGGTCAAAATGACCCAGAACTGTGGCAGAGATGATGGTGTCGATATCATAGGGCCCAATGAACCATCTTGCACCATGGTTCAGTTTACGGGAGTTTGACTTGAGAGGAATAGCCATACCTTCTTTCCAGGGGTGTACTGGGGTGCTGGTGTCCAGAGCTGATCCGAGTAGTGGTGCTGGTGGTTGACAGCTTTATGCAAGGCTTCCAGAGTTCTGACCGAAACGTTGCGCCAGTGCCGGAGGTGGTGCTGGAGTGAAGGATTTGTGATGTCAGCCTCCTCCTTGGGAAGCAAGCTGAGTGACGCTTCAAATAGAGACCGGCGGATGATGAGGTGTGTGCATTGTGCGCCTACTCTACCCACGGGAGATTTGAGGTACAGGTGGACAGGTTGTGAGTGATGACACAGCGGAGAGTGGATTCCAACTCCTGATTCAGCCGTTCTGTCTGGCTGTTGGTCTGTGGGTGGTAACTGGAGCTGAGGTTGACTTGGGCCCCTAGAACAGAAAGATTTCTAAACCTATGAGGTGAACTGGGGGCCTCTGTCCGAGGTGATCTCCGAGGTGATTCCATGAGGTTTGAACATGTGATATACCACAAGCTTCACTGTTTCTGTGGCTGTGGGGCGTTTGTCCAGGCCAATGAAGTGTGCTGCCTTAGAGAATCTGTCAAGTACAGAAGGGATTACTGATTTTCCTGTTGAGACAGGTAAGTCAGTGACAAAAACGAGAGAAATATGGGAACAGGGGTGTGATAAACCACGGCATGTTTATGCTTTTAAGCATCTCTTTATTAACACGGTAGCTTGTTCACACGACTAGGCTGCAGCATTCCAACTGCCAGCCACACACCAACAACAACAACAACATGACAGGACCCTACACCACTCTTAAGCTGGTGAGGCATGATTGCGATGCCGCGCAGGTGCGTCCGCCTTCCCAGCCGCGGCACCACCGCCTACGTCCTGCCACAATGGCCAAGAAGGTATGGATAGAGGCTGAAGCAGGCCCAATGGCTTCTGAGTTTTGGTCTTGCTGCCAGCACAGACCAGCACTAGTCCTGCACATCCTTCTCTGCCATTCCCCACCAGAAGTGAGGCTTCAGCAGAGGGATGGTCCGACCTACCTCATGATGACATGAAAACCTGTAGGCCCAGCTTAGTACCAAAGCTAATGCTGCTGAGGGGACATGTCGCCAGCCCAGGGGCCCAGTTCCTGGATCTGGCAGAGCCTGCCGAATCATTTCCTCAATCCCCCAAGAGATGAGGCCCATGCGGCAGAAGGCAGGTAGCACAGTTGACAGCTCTGAGGGATCTGCGTCAGGGGCGTACTAGTGGGACAAGGCATCTGCCTTGGTGTTCTTGGACTCTGGATGGAAGGACATAGCAAACTTGAAACAGTCAAAGAATAAGGACCACAAGGCCTGGTGGGCATCCAGGCGTTTAACTGTCTTGAGGTAAGTGAGGTTCTTATTGTCAGTGAATGGAAGTTCAGCCCGCTCTAGCAGATGATGCCACTCTTCTAAGTCAGTTTTATAGTTAACAGTTCTGTCTCCTACATTATAATTTTGCTCCGCGGGGGAAAGACAGCATGAAAACAATGCACAGGGTTGTAGCTCGGGGTCCAGAGTGATGCAAAAGCATCGCTCCGACTCCAACATCAGACACATCAACAACAAATGATTTAGTGTTGACAGGATGAATCAGAACAGGAGCTGAGGGGAACAGATGTTTGAGCTTTTTGAAAGCTGATTCAGCTTCAGGTCTCCAGTGGAAGAGTTTTTTGGTGGAGGTGAAAGTGGTGAGTGGTGCAGCTACCTGGCTGTAGTTTCGTATGAAACAGCGATAAAAATGAGCAAAGCCAAGGAAGCGTTGAAGCTGTTTTCAGGATGTGGGAAATGGTCATTCCTTGACCGCTTGGATCTTCTGTGGAGACACGAGAGCGTTGAGTGGACGCTGGCGCATTTTGGCTGCTGCTGCTCTCTCTCTATACTTATTGCTTAATATAGTTAGAGAAGTTTGTTTTATTCTCTGAACCTATACCTGTCTTTAAATTGTCTGCTAGGTAAGGCGTTTGCATTAGTCATTTACCAACCTTAAATGCCTCAGCTTCCACAGATGACTAAACCTCTTGCATTCCTCCCTTCTGAAGTTATTTCTAGCGAGGTGTCTATGAACCTGCACAGCTACTATATTTTTCAAGTCGAAGAACTTCCTTTTCCCGTTCTGCCTCCTAATATTCATCTGAACTTCACCAACTCAAAGCCGTTGGCCGCCACCTGGAATGTGTCTTCAGCAAAAATGACGTACTATTCTTAAGACTTAAGGATATCTATCTCAGTCATATACAACATTATGAAGAAGCTATTTATCATGCTAAATCATCTTACAACACTTCTATTATTAAGTGCACTGATGAAAATACTCGTACTTTGTTTTCTATATTACATAATATTGTTAAACCTCCAGATACCTTTGCCAGACATACCCACTCTGCTGCAGTCTGTAACAAATTTATGGACTTTTTTAAATACCAAAATTGTTAATCTTCACCGACAGTTGCCCTCTTCTTGTGGTCAATTGTTCTATTTGCATGTTTTCTCCTACTCAACTGTTATCTTCTCTATCCAGTTTTGAACTTCCTATAATAATTCAAATATCTTCTATTATTAGTAAGTAAAAGTTATCATAGCGTAAACTCAATCCACTGCCCATTTGAATTTTTTTTGAGCTTTTTTAAATTTGCCTTTCCTCAAATTTGCCAAAATTCACAAAAATATAGTAGCTGCACAGGTTCATAGACACTTCACTAGAAATATATTGTATGAACAGTTTCTATCTGGTGATCATTCATTTCATAGTACAGAAATAGCTCTACTAAAAACCACAAATGATTGTTTTGCTTGCAGCTGACTCTGGACTCATCACTATCCTCTTTCTCCTTGACCTTACAGCAGCTTTTGATACTATCTGTCACTGCATCCTTCCTCATAGATTAACATCTTTTGGCATCAGTAACATACCACTCACCTGGTTAACCTCTTATCTCTCTGGTTTGCTTAACTATTTACTCACAGATCACCATCTGCTCCAGTTCACCTCCATATCAATTTCAAGATCCTGCTTCTTACTTTCAAAACACTTCATAACCTCGCTCCTCCATATTTATCTGATCTTCTCCATGCGTGCTCACCCCCTCATACACGCCACTCGTTTTCAGCTTCCCTTCTGTCTGTTCCACCTGCTCGCCTGAAGTCCTCCCAGACCTCAACAGTGAGGAGGCCAAACAGAGAGAGGAGGAGGAGCTTCTTCCCTCAGGCTATTCGGTCCCTGAATCAGGTGTAGGACTGGACTCTCTCTCTCTCGTTACTACACATCAGCAACAGTTTATTCCACCTCAAACTGTTACACTGCACACTGTTTATTTGCACACTCTCAACTTGCACACTTTTATATTTTCTTAAATTTACTTTTTTTGCACGTTCTATTTTTTTAAATATTGTTTTTTACCTTCAATTTTACTGTAATTTTTTACTGTTAATTTTGGAATTTTAAATTTGTATATTATGCAAATTTCTAGTTAGTTTAGTTTCATTTCAGTTTTGTTTTGTTTACTTTTATGTCTATGTTTAGTTTTTTTAAGGTCAGGCTTTGCACAGCAACAAGCATTTCACTTTATATTGTATTATGTATGATTGTGTATATGACAAATAAAATTTGAACTTGAATTAAGGTCTCTGCTGAATCTACTCTAGTCTTGACCTCTTGTCATATTGGTAAACAAATTCCATAGAGCCATCATAGGTCATCAGTGAAGCTAATCACAATTTAAGACTAAAAAAACTTGACTGAAGTCAACAATTTATGCGCTCATATGGCGCCTTTAGCTCCATCGTATATTAGTTCAGTGAGACTGTTTGCCTATTTCTGGAAAGATTTTGAGAGGATGGAACATAAGGAAGCAGCTGGGTATAATGGATAACTATAATTTAAATATTACATTCTATTAGGACTATTAGTTGAATGAACAAAATGTGAGAAATAATAGTGTTTCAAACATTTAAAAAATTACAAGGTGCAGCTGGTTCTCTGTGTTCAATTTAGGGCACTGAACCTGAAAAAAGGTCCAAAATACTTCGCTTTCAGACTGGAATAGCCAGGGATTTGATTAATAGATGCCCTGTTCAACTTCCTGAGCTACAGCCATTCCAACAACAGAGATTTGAGGAAAGACATAAAAAGACCACAGAGACACCACCACGCAAGAATCTACAGAAGAGCGTTAGATTGAGAATGGTAGCGATCAACTCTGATACACTGAAAATTGAAAGTTGAGAACTCTGTCATGATAAAAGAAATACAAACTTAGTTAAATAACTGTCTACAAATGTGGACATTGGGTTACAAGCATTTTTAATTAGAGGCAAATCTTTTGTAGCGCAGCATACTTTCTTTTACATATTTCTTCACAACTAAATAATGTTAAGCTGAAAAAAGTCATCCTGTTATATAAGTTTTTTTCTCCTGTAAATCTTCGTTCTCTCTGCACTTCCTTCTACCATCACTCCTTTTTCCTCTCATCCTTCCAACTTAGATCCAAGTATCTCCCCTTCGAGAGCCTCTTCTGCCTCTGCTGTGGGGGACAACAGCATAGACTGTCTGCTACAGAAGAAAGAACACACCTCCAGAAGCCTGTTGTCTAACCCTGACTTCTCCTACAGTCCATATCGATGCTCTCCCAATACCTTACCTCGAAGCTACCCCACCAATAACAGCAGCAGCAGACACAGCCAGATGGACAGCCTCATAATGCAGCACACACATGTGGAGAGGAAGAAAGAGGTCCTGGACCATGTGAGGCAAAAATATCCTCAACATAAAACCATTATCATAGGACATCAGGACTGCACAAACGAGCAGGTAAGATTTGTTCATCATTAGCAGTGTTTGAAAAATGAAATGTGGAGCGAATTTATGACTTTTTTTATTCATTTTAAGGCCAGCAACAACCTTTTTTCATTTTAATGATCTTCTAAGCTTTATCAACATGTTTTTCACATTGTGATCTCAATGAGTTGCTGACAGACATTTATCAGTTACTGTTTTGCATTTTCTTTTCTAAAACGATGTATGTGTGTTGTTATAGTGGTAATGCTGGAGGGGCATGAGGTGTCTTGTAGCTTGTCATAAATTTCACGAGTAGTACTACTGATCTCCCAGTTAGACCGGTACAGCCAGCATTATTTGCTAAGGTGGAGTTGTGTTGAAACAGCAACGGGTGGAAAGGGGTGGAGTTTGTCAGTGCACCTGATCCAAGCAGAGAAACATGCGGCATGTAGAAACTGCGACGTTTCAAAAGTCCGAGAAAAGAACCTTAAACCTGCCGTGAAACCGCAGGACTTGATTTTGACCCTTAGAGCTAAGTAACCTGGGAAGTGCTAAAACTCTAAAGCCGCACTGCTGACACCAAGCATCTCCGCCAGGTAAGTTCCTCTAATTTATCTGTAAAGACCAACAGCTCCTCTGAGCCGCTCTTTTTCTACTACTTAAAAGACAACTTAGTGTAAAAGTAGCCAAAGCGATTAGCAGGATATGAACTTTACATTAGCCTTCAACTTGCGATACACAAGCTCCTGAGTGTTTGGAGCCGGCTCAACAAGCTGCTCCATCAGCGCGTCATTATGCGGGCTATTCAGCGTCTGCGCCAGATGTCTGTCACTGTTTGTTACGTCAGCATGTGACGAGAGCCAACACAAACAGAAAGGTACCATCATTTAAGGGATTCAATGGGTGGAATCCGTTCTGACCCAGCACTGCTGTTGTAGGCGAAGAATCCACCAGGTGAAAGAACTAAAAGAACTGAAGACGCTGTTTCCTAATATCTATTTTCCACACGCAGGCATTAAGAAAAATGACACATTTGCGCAGGAATGGTGAGCATTCCTCACAAGTTTGATCTGTAATGACAACAGGGATGTCTGTTTGCGCTCAGATGAGTCATAATAGCCATAACAGCCTGCTGAAGCAGTGAGCCGGGATTATGATTATTGCAGTGTGCTGTCAGCTGTATGGGGAGATTTTTATTTTCTGTTCCAGTAAGTGGGGGGCACAGGGGCAGTAAGACGTTACTGTCCTCTCAACCTACTTTATTTTCAGACTTTTTGAAGCTGCGGTGTGTTTTAAATGTGTCTCTCTTCAAATTTACACCTATGGGCATTAGAGACTCTGCACAAACTAATATACCATTCACAAACAAACAATTGTGTAATTATTCGCTATCGAAATATCACAACTTTGGAATATTAACAGTCTCATAGCAATTATATCTGCCATTTTTTACTTCAAATTTTAAAACACAAAGCCACAAGCTCTTATTGGTCATATTGAATTATTATCTTTGTGTGTTTTTGTGTGATTTAATGTCTTTGGCTGTGTGCCCTGCTGATGATGCAGCTGGAATGCAGGTTGTTTCCTGTAATGTCAGAGAGACAGACTGATGGTTAAACCTTGATTATGTCCTTCCTTCTAGACTACTCTTTTGTTTGCATTGAATTTTATTATAAGTTTTATTCTATTGAATTTTAATAATTATAAACACTTTTCTGTGGAAAGGTTCAGTCCCAAATTATTTTAAACATGCTAAAATAGCATTAAATTACATCACAAAAGGGAATCTTGCCTTACAAGACTTTTTAATGATGTTTTATGTATTTCTTATTCTGTCTCCTCTGATGTCCTGGTGTGCTTTTCTCTCTCGTGGACCCTAAAATTTTAATCTCCTATCTTGAGCAGTCATCCGATTATTAAAATAGAATAGTCATTCATAACACAGTCATACAAAAATAACATTGCCCCCCCCCTCATCATATTTTTAAGAGATGCATTCAGGGTTTGAGTCTGACCTGCAGCCTCTTCTCACTCTCTGAGAATTTCACGTAGATGAAAGAAGTTCAACGATTGTGGGTTAACATAAGATAACAACTGTATGCAGCCAACAATGTAGTTTTATGTGGTCTGCCTTTGTCAATTTTGATATTTTTTTCTCTTTTGTGTTATGACTTTGTTTGTGCTGCTTTGGAGGGGAACCGGGACCTGTGTCCAGGTGAAACTGAGAAGGTACCAGAGGCTAGCTTCTAGGCTGTAGGGAGACTCCCAGTACCTGCGGCATGATAGTGTTGGCTTCCAATGTTTTCAACTGAAAATACATTGGGTACTGCCACATAATCGCTATTGTCTCCTAAGATAAGTCAGTAGAGTAAACTATGGCTTCCCAGATTGCTTTGACACAGTGCACCAAAAACCCTGCCCAGAAACAGCTAGTGGCACACAAAGGAGAGGCATTGAGCTGACCCAGCCTCTAAACTCCCAGATTCCAATGTCATCTGGCAATTACTGGATAAACTAACACACAATCCATAGAGGCCCCCAGCTTGCAGCCCATAGGAGACAATGGTTCTGGTGCCCTGTGTGACAAAGTGGATGAGCAGTCGTAAAACTTTCAACTTGTCCCAGAAGTATTGACTTTTTGCACATTAAGCACATTATTCTCTCCATATATTTATTTACTATGATTTGCTATTGTCAGAATAACATTGCTGCACTGACTATCCCAGGTTTGTTTGTGTAAACACTATGTTGCCAGCAAAATCAAACATTCAGCAAATTAAAGCAAATATTCAGTCACATGTTACTTTAAGTTTCATTATGTTGTTAATTCATTAAGTTATGAATTAACTTAATTGTGCATACATACATTGTTTCTTTGTTTTTGGTCTTCATGTAGGTCCGGTGTGGGGAAGGCCCACCCAGACAACATCACACCGTTGTTGTGAATGTAGCAGCTAATGGACTGTAGCTAGATAAAAGATGAATCAGTACTGCAAGCTGAGCAGATCTCAGGTGGAATATTGAGCCATGACAGAGCAGATTACATGGAGAAATGCATGGGTCGCTGTCCATACAGAGCAACAGGGGAACCATAGCTGAACTGAGCAAAGAGTCCAGAGTGTGGAGAAGTAATCGAGTAAATTAAAAAATGAACTCTGGAGTAGGGCTGTTCGATATAACGATATATATCGGATGACAATATAAAAACGTCTATCGTTTCATTTTACGCTGTTGTTTGTTTCGTGGTGTCGCAAAATAAACTCTTTACGGCAATATTTTTTCATGGTTTTGATGTCACTGTAGTGGCTATATTAATTTCTTAAACTTCTCTCTTTCTCTAATATTTAATATAACCACACTACGGACGGACAAGCGCCAATTTTTATGCGTTGTGGTTAGCAACAACGACGGTAAAGAATAAAGTTACGTTGAAACCAAGCACACCATTGTTTTTCTTGTGACATTACCAATAAGTTTGATGTGTCACATGGCCCTCTTCCTATTGAAAAACAAAAGTTGTATCCAAGATGGCCGACTTCTAAATGGCCACCATGGTCACCGCCCATCTTGAGGAGTTTGCCCCTCACATATACTAATGTGCCACAAACAGGACTTTAATATCACCAACCATTCCCCTGTTATTACGGTGTATCCATATAAAGGCCCACCCTGTAGATCGTTATATGGAACAGCCCTACAGAACATGTTTATTGAACATCTTAACATTCATGTTTACAAAAAACTTTCTGTAAACATTTATTCACATTAATGTGGCCCTGTTACTGAGACAAACTAACTTGTTGACATTGTCCGAGAGGAGAGCTGACCGCTTCTTATTTACAGTGTTGCCTGCAACTGAGAACAGTCTCTCACACAGAACAGTGGTTGCAGGAGTGGCCAGATATTTGCAAGCCAGCAGTGCCAGCTTGTCACCAGCTCCTGAATGAGCTATAGAATCAAGTGCGTGATTCTGTCAGGCAGAAACTCCTCATCTGATTCATCTGTAAAGGACTCATTTTCTTGGGTGGCTTATCTTCACAAGTCTGAGGTGGGGATTGATCATGCAGCAGTCTTCCAAGTGTGGGCCACACCCTCTCTCTGTCACTCTTGGGGAGGCACTTCAATCGAGCATCCAAAGCTGTGGCAATCTTGAGACATTCATTGTTGATAAAGTTTTCTTGGTGGGAGGTTAGGTGTTCTTGGAATGCTGTTTTAAACCTAGTTACATATGCAGAGTCATCATTAGAGGTTTCCATCACATGATGCAAGTGGGAGAAGGCAGGCAGTACCACTGAGCAGGAAATATAGGATTCCCCACCCAGAATCTCAGTTACATACCTGTAGTGAAAACACACAGACAGAGGAAGAGATGGAAGAAGAACAAAATGGTTATTAAAACAAGAAATGGATTTTCTTTAATCAATTAATTTAAAAAAAAAAGTATTTCTTTCTTGTGGCATCAGCATCACAAGTTTGTGGCTCTGCTGGATCAATGGCTCCTTCTGCTCCCCCAGGGTTGTTTGTCGTGTTTCCAGCTCTGGGGCGTTGCCTGAAATATGTTTGAATTGACCAACAATTTTCTGAAACCTGGACAAATCCACTGTCACCAAGACTCACAGTGATGCATCTCTGTAAGATGTGAGTCCCACAAGGCATATGCTCAAATGGCAAAGGTTTAGCTGCAGCATTTGTGTTTCGTGGACAATCAATCCCTACAGTTGTGATTTTTCCTTCAATTTCCCACTCACATGCCATTGCTAAGAAATGTTCAGCACATGCCTCTGCGAAGTGACGCTCCTCTGTCTTCATTATTCTCAATGCAAGCGCGACTTTAATTCCTATGCGCAGTAATTAGTTGTGCAGTAATGTCAAGATAGTTACTGTTACTGTCCAGTAGTCACCTGACAGGGTGACATGTTTGGCTGCAGCTAAATTCTCTTGTTTTTTTCCTTTCCAGTGTCTTAGAGCCCATTAATTTTTTACATTATTGTGCTTGTTGTTGGAGCCTTGTACAATGCATCTCGAAAGGCAACTTGCAAAACCTTTGTAAGGGCTGTGTCCTTGACGATATTAATAGTTCTGCAGTTTGTTGCAATCTACTTGCCAGTTGTGTCTGTCAATTTGTCTGAGGTAGACTTACTGAGGCCCCAGTGCTCAGTGAGAGTGGTTTGCCACAAGCTGGGCGACACGTTAGCCAAAGTGCTAGCAGCATCCCCAAGTAGTGTTGTGCTTTGTGCGATGCATTGTGCAATGCTTTGTGTGATATTTTTACCCTGGAAGTGCTTCGGAAAAAGAAAATTCCTTCCTGCACAATGTGCATAGTACTTTATGTCGGTCAACTGTTCCGTCTTGTTTTTTTAATTAAAATTTTCTATCAAACGAGCCGGGCAGTGGCTGAAGCAAAAACTCGGGTGTGGGAGGAGTTCAACCACACACCACTACAGGGAACGCCTTGGTATTCCCCCGGAC